TTTTTTTGCCGTACGAGGGCCTCTCCCTGTTGTGGCCTCTCCCGCTGCGGAGCACAGGCTCTGGACGCGCAGGCTCAGTGGCCATGGCTCACGGGCCTAGCCGCTCCGCGGCATGTGGGATCCTCCTGGACCGGGGCACGAACCCGTGTCCCCTGCATCGGCAGGCGGACTCTCAACCACTGTTCCACCAGGGAAGCCCAGGAGTGTGGTTTTTGAAGGTTTAAATCCCTGCTCCTGACCCGGGGGCCTCAGCTGCCCATGCCTTCACGGGGTCTCAGCTTTGCAGCAGCCAGAGCCATGGGACTAGGTGATCCCACCCTTGGCCTGAGATGTCCATGAGGGGCTGAGGGCACCTCTGCACTGGAGCTTCTCCAAAGGCCTTTCCAGAGGGAGCTCTGCAGACACAAGGAGCAGATGGCCTTCTGGGCTCAGCTCCGAGCTGGTCCCACTTAAGGCCCGTGGCTGCCAGTGGAAAGGTCACACTTCAGGCCTGTGGCCCACCAGCCCAGGCCGGATGAGGCAGCCTTTGGGGCCCCTCTGTGCCTGGGCTTCCCTTGTCCGCTGAGCCCATTCGTGGGGAGCACTGGCTCCTGCTGTTGAACTTAGCGTGGTCCTGAGTAGGTTCCCGCCTGCTCTGGGCCTTGGTGTCCCCCCTGTCTCTCCGAGGGCCTGGCTGGGCCACACGGCTTTCCAAGGAGGTGGGCGCAGTGGGGCCATAGGAGTGATGAGACCTCGGCGACCCATCTCAGTACTTTTCGCGTCCCCTTTGGCCTCCTAGATTCTGTCCATGATGGAAGCCCACCATCCGTCGTTCGAGAGGGGGCAGAAGTCTTCAGAGGTAAGAGAACGGGGCTGCGCTTGCCGGCCCTACTTGAGAGCAGCCTCTGTCTGGCCCTCACCCACCCCTCACCGGGCTCCCTGGCTGCAGGTGCCCGCGCGGCCCCCTCAGTGCCCCGTGGATTCCGTCAGCCAGGGCTCCTGCGCTTCCAGCTTCTCATCCGCGTCGCTGAGCTCCAGGCAAGAGGAGCCCAGAAAGTTCTACAGGGAGGTGAGGCCCCCGGACCGGAGGGCAGAGAGGGGCGGGGGGCGGCCTGTGTTCTGGGGGCCAGTTAGAGAGCCCCTGGGGCAGCGTGTCTGCTGTGGTGAAGGTCAGCGCCCTCGAGGGGAGCCCGGCCAGCCTCACCCTGCTTGCCCTTCATGGACGGACGTGTGTGCCTGTGTGTGCGTGTGTGTGTGTGTGTGTGTGTGTGTGTGTGTGTGTGTGAGAGAGAGAGAGAGAGAGAGAGAGAGAGAGAGATGGGAAGGGGGGTATTCTAAGAAAAGTACAGGTAAAGTCACCTGTAGGTCCACTGCTTTAAGATCATTTTACGAAGTAAATTCTCTGCCCTTATCCCCCTCTCCGTCAGCACCCCTGTTAACCTGATGTGTCTCGTTCCTGACTTCCTGCAGACTTTATGTAGACGTGTACATGTTCTCACACATTGTGTTTGGTAAAAGCTGACTCAGCCTGTTTTGTTTGTCTGTGTGTTTTTTTCCGTCTAACCTACCTTAGACCTTGTCCATTGTCAGCCCACAGAGCAGACCATGGCGTGGATGTGCCCATCCCCTGCAGGTGGGGAGCCCTCACTGACTCCGCCCCGGGCTCCTCCTTCGCTGTCACCCCCAGGCTGTGACCTGCTCTCGGAGGGCCCAGTAAGCCTAGCTCGATGCAGAACCGCAGGAAAGAAAGCCAAGAGGCGTGCTCCAGAGTCTAACAGAGGCCTGGAGGCGTTCCTGGGGGGGTGCCCTCCCTCATGGTACCTGTAGCTGGCAGATAATGAGAGCTGAATAGATGCAGGTCTGAAGGGTGGCTGCCCTCTTGGGAAGCGCTCGTGCTCCCAGGTGGCTGTCGTCCCACCGTGCCACATGAATGGCAGGTCATCTTACAGACCTTATGCGGAAGGTGCGGGGGATGTGTTTGAAAGATACTGAATGAGATCAAGAGGCACATGAAAGCTACTAGGTTTTTATTATTTCTATTCTTATTGTATTATTATAAGTTTCCTTACATTCTTTTTTCTTTTATTAAGGTAGAAAAACTCTTAAGAGCCATTGCTGATGGAGACCTAGAAATGGTGAGTTTTTAGAAGGAATTTCAGCAGCTTGCTCTCGGCTTAAGCAGCTGTGCTCATGTGTCTTGTCTCCAGGTGGGTCAGGAGCTGTCAGGGTTCTTTGTTTACGTTCACGCAGAAGGGGTGCATTTCATGAGTACTTGCTGATGGGATGGGACGTGCCCCCCGCAAGTAACGAGGCAGGCGGAATAAAGCTGCAGTGTGAGCCTGTCCCTGCCCTTTAGACATTCCTATTCCAGGAGGGCAGCGATGTTGGCAAGAGGACCAGCCTGTGTCCAGGGGCACAGAGCACAGGCTCGGGGCCAGAGTCCACTAGCCGGGAGCAGGGTGAACAGACCGGGCGGGGAAGGGTGGAGGTGGCGAAGGGGAGGCCAGAGCCCAGAGGGCGTTGGTGTGGCCCTGCAGGAGTTGTGGGTGGTGTGAATCCCTGGCTGGGAGGCTGAGTCTCAGACTTGGGGCTCCAAGGGCTCACAAGCAAGTGTCCGAACGAGATGGTGCTAAGGTGTCAGGGAACATCTATGATGAGATCACTGGAGACGCCCATGGGCAGTTCCCCTGGCTTGCCTTTGGCTTCCTGAAGGCTTTTCTGTCTTCCATTTTAAAAGGAGGGGTAAATTAGCGCTTACCAGATTAGGAGGCCTGAGTGGATCAGATTTACAAGAGTGCTTCACAGGGATGTGTATTTCAAGAGTGCTTTTTGCCAATGATGGAGCTTGAGGTGGTGGACAGCAGTTCCTGGCATCTGATCACCACAGCCTGCGGGGTGTTGAGAATCGGAAGGTAGTTGGCAGTGTCTCAGCCTCTGCCCAGAGGCCACTGTGAATACATCAGCCTGATGCGTGGTTACTCGGGGCGGGGGGAGGACACAGGCGTCTGGATCTGGCTGTTGCTCCCCTAGAGAGACCAGCCCCAGGGCACCCAGTGTTCTTGGGGGGAAGCAAAGAAAGAGTGTCTCAGGCTCCCTGTGAGCCGCGGCGAGAGCCAGTGTGGAGAAGAGACTGTGACCATCCCTGCGTCGTGACGCGTCTGCCCTGTGCCCGAAGCTGCCGCCCCTCGGCTCCCTTACCCCCGCCTTGTTCCTTCTAATCACCGAGAGGAACTGCCCTCGGTCCGGTCCGTCCCAGCCAGTCTGTTAGGTGAGGCCCCGGTTCAGGTGAGGGCTTTGGCGTTTCCACCCTGAGGAGCATCTGTTGTCAGAAACGTGGAAGGGACCTGGAGCGGGGGATGTTTGGGATTGAACGGGGTCTTCCTGGGGCCCTTTGTCACTCCTTGCAGGCTTTTGCTGACTTCCTCAGTGCTCAGAACCAGGCCTAGAAATGTATTTATGTTGTTTTCTTTTCTCACGTTTAATATCCTAGAAACTTGTGTTTACTGGAACATAAATTTGACCTGTTAGGGTCTTTTCGGTGCTTTCACCTGTGGGCTAGGGCATTAAAGTGGAAAGGACACTGGCGTGGCATCAGAGAGCCTGTGATTAGGTTCTGGCCACCACCTCCTCATCCTGTGGCCTTGAACAAGTGGCCCCCGGAGTGAGTCTCCTCCCCCGTAGGATGAGACGGACCAGTTGTTGAAAGCGGACAGTTAGATGACGTAAGAGGAGGTGCTCACGAAATGCTCCAGGACAGGGCTCTAAAGCCATCACACTGAAGCAGCACCGCTCTGCCCCTTTTTAAGATGGAAGAAGAGAATCTGCCGCAAGCTGCAGAAATGGGAGCTTAGACTCTCTCTGTCACTACTGAAAGGATTGAGAAAGGCTTGAGCACAGGTGAACCCTGGAATCCTCAAGAGGGAGCAGCCATCATTTATAAGTTACTTTGGTGGTTGAGGAAATGTATCAATACGTCCTGATTAGAGAAGTGTGTGTGTGTGTGTGTATGTGTGTGTGTGTGTGTATGTGTCTGTGTCTGTGTGTCTGTGTGTGTGTCTAAGATACCATAACTTGTAAAGAAGCTGAGGATGGGTTTTAAGTCCCTATTTCTCCTTACTGCCCGGCGCCAGGTGCGTTACCTGTTGGAGTGGACAGAGGAGGACCCGGATGAAGCGGAGGATGCTGTCAGGGCGGTGGATCTTGAATTTTGTCACCCCTTGTGCCAGTGCCCCAAATGTGCTCCAGCTCAAAAGGTTTGGCTTTTCTTCTGTTGGGGGATGGGCAAATTCTTCTTTTTCCCCTTAGGAAAGTTGTCTGCTTCTCAGCCAGCTAACGGCCGAGTGGCTGGTTGTAGGTGTCCCCTGAGATACAGCTCAAGGTAGAGGAAAGTGGACACTCATGCAGGATCTGGCTCCGGCTGCCTGCTTTCTGAATGGGCAGGTCAGGGAACAGGGCCATGAACGCGGGCTTAGTGTTTCAGTGGTTCTCAGGGCCTCTGAGTCACAAGGCAGGAGCTTATGAACAGACATGCCCGGGGGTCTCCGTCCATGTGGCCGTGGTCCCTTGGGAGGATGCAGGCAAGAGCCCCTGCCCCCTGCCTTTGCTCACGTTGGTGCACCCTCTGCGGGAGGACCCTCCCTCCAAGCACAGAGAGACCCCTGTGCCTTTTACCCTGTTTCCCCCATGGTAATAGCCTGCAAAAGCACAGTACAATATCCCAACCAGGATATTACCATGGATACAGTCCATCCGTCTCACTCAGGTTTCCCCGCTTTTATCTGTGCTTGTGTGTGTGTGTGCGCGCATGCTAGCACGTGTGTTTATTTACGCGTTCTGTCTAGTTTTGTTTTTTTCTTTAATTGCGGTATAGTTATTTTACAATGTTGTGTTAGTTTCTACTGCACAGCAAGGTGAAGTAGAGTTCCCTGTGCTATACAGCACGTTCTCATTAGTTATCTGTTTTATACATATTAGTGTATATATGTTAATCCCAATCTCCCAATTCATCCCACTCCCCCTTTCCCCCCTTGGTGTCCATACATTTGTTCTCTACATCTGTGTCTTTATTTCTGCCTTGCAAACCAGTTCATCTCTACCATTTTTCTAGATTCCACAAATATGCATTAATATATGATATCTGTTTTTCTCTTTCTGACTTACTTCACTGTGTATGACAGTCTCTAGGTCCATCCATGTCTCTACAAATGACCCAATTTCGTTCCTTTTCCTGGCTGAGTAGTATTCCATTGTATATATGTACCACATCTTCTTTATGCATTCCTCTGTTGATGGACATTTAGGTTGTTTCCATGTCCTGGCTATTGTAAATAGTGCTGCAATGAACATTGGGGTGCATGTGTCCTTTTCTTAAATAATTAATTAATTTATTTATTTATTTTTGGCTGCGTTGGGTCTTTGTTGCTGTGCATGGGCTTTCTCTAGTGGCGAGCAAGGGCTACTCTTCGTTGCGGTGCACAGGTTTCTCATTGCGGTAGCTTCTCTTGTTGCAGAGCACGGGCTCTAGGCACGTGAGCTTCAGTAGTTGTGGCACACGGGCTTAGTTGCTCTGCAGCATGTGGGATCTTCCTGGACCGGGGCTCGAACCCATGTCCCCTGCATTGGCAGGTGGATTCTTAACCACTGTGCCACCAGGGAAGCCCTGCATGTGTCTTTCTGAATTATAGTTTTCTCAGGGTATATGTCCAGTAGTGGGATTGCTGAGTCATATGGTAATTCTATATTTAGTTTTTTAAGGAACCTCCATACTGTTCTCCATAGTGGCTGTATCAATTTACATTCCCACCAGCAGTCAAGAGGGTTCCATTTTCTCCACACCCTCTCCAGCATATATTGTTTGTAGATTTTCTGATGAGGCCCATTCTAACTGGTGTGAGGTCATAGCTCATTGTAGTTTTGATTTGCATTTCTTTAATGATTAGTGATGTTGAGCATCTTCTCATGTGCTTCTTGGCCATCTGTATGTCTTCTTTGGAGAAATGTCTATTTAGGTCTTCCACCCTTTTTTTTTTTTTTTTTTTTTGGGCTGCGTTGGGTCTTCGTTGCTGTGTGCAGACTTTCTCTTTTGTCATTTCAAAAACTCTTTGCAGCGAGCAGGAGCTACTCTTTCGTTGTGGTGCACGGGCTTCTCATTGCAGTGACTTCTCTTGTGGTGGAGCACGGGCTCTAGGCGCACGGGCTTCAGTAGTTGTGGCATGCAGGCACAGTAGCGTGGTGCATGGGCTTAGTTGCTCCGTGGCATGTGGGATCTTCCTCGACCAGGGTTGGAACCCATGTCCCCTGCACTGGCAGGCGGATTCTTAACCACTGCGCCACCAGGGAAGTCCTTACGCCCAGTTTTTGATTGGGTTGTTTGTTTTTTTGATGTTGAGCTGCATGAGCTGTTTGTATATTTTGGAGATTAATCCTCTGTCTGTTGATTCGTTTGCAAATATTTTCTCCCATTCTGAGGGTTGTCTTTTCATCTTGTTTATGGTTTCCTTTGCTGTGCAAAAGCTTTGAAGTTTCACTATAGGTCCCATTTGTTTATTTTTGTTTGTATTTCCATTACTGTCCTGCATTCTGTTTAGTTTTATCACATGTGTAGGTTTGTGTGTCCACCACCACATTCAAGGCACAGAACAGTTCTCTCATCACAAGGAGAATAACTCATGTTGCCTTTTATAATCACACCCACCTCTCTCCCTGTCACCCCAGCCCACCATCCCTGACCCCTGCCAACCACTAATCTGTTCTCCAGTTCTAATATTTTGTCATTTCAAAACTGTTATATAAAAGTCATCATACAGCATGGAACCTTTGGGGATTGGCTTTGTTCACTCAGCCACATTTCCAGGTTGTTGCGTGTAATCAGCGGTTTATTCTGCATCGCTGAGCAAACTCTAAACACACCACTGGGCTAGAAGAATAGTTTTAATTTAATCACAGCATGAAGCAATTTACTTTTGTGTCTCTTTGAGAAATTACAAAAAGAGAAAAAGATAGTAGGCTTTAAAAGAGCAAGGAACATAAATTTATCCAATAAATTCAACAGATGCTGCAGTGTGTAATTCAGTTTCTTGCTACAATTAATGAACTGTGAGGTGGGGGAGAGCAGAGTGGGTAAATGCCCAGAAGGACAGCAAAGACACAGTTACTGCTTCCAGCCATACAGTCACTGATGGGCCTGAGGGCTGTGCTACTTCATTCACATCACATCCTTTGAAACAGCATCTGCCTTTTTAATCCCTTTGTTTTTCACAGCAGCCCACCTTGGGGAAGTCTGTTTTGGACTGTACATATCCAGCAGCATGCGGACAGAAGAAAAATTGTACATCCCAATGTACACAGTACCCTGTAGCTGAAAAAGCTACAAGTGAATGAAAAACTACAAGTCATTTCAATATTCTTAGGTTAGAGACATCCATGGTGAAGCTTTTTAAATAAGGTAGTATTATCTTGCAGTACAAAGGATAACACCACTATATCTGTTTTGTAAAGTCAAATTAATTTTCTTAGCATGGGACATACACATTGAATTAGACAGCTAGCACATGCATGAGCACATGCTATGTTTACAACGCCATTTACAACTGCTCAAAAAAAATATGAACTACTTAGGGATACACTTAACAAGACATGGACAGGATCTGTATGCTGGAAATCACAAAATGATGAAAAAAGTCAGAGTGCGTAAATACTTAGGTGTATCAGATCATGAAGACTCAACCTAGTAAAGCTGTTATTTCTCCCCAGATTGATCTACAGTATTTTTTTGTTTTTGTTTTTGTTTTTGCGGTATGCGGGCCTCTCACTGCTGTGGCCTCTCCCGTCGTGGAGCACAGGCTCCGGACGCGCAGGCTCCGGACGCGCAGGCTCAGAGGCCATGGCTCACGGGCCCAGCTGCTCCACGGCATGTGGGATCTTCCCGGACCAGGGCACGAACCCGTGTCCCCTGCATCGTCAGGCAGACTCTCAACCACTGCGCCACCAGGGAAGCCCTGATCTACAGGTTTAATGCAGTTCCTATCAAAATCCTAACAAAGTTTTTGTAGACATAGACAACCTTATTTTAAAATTTATATGGAAAGGTGCAGGCCCTAAAATATCTAAAACGATCCTGCAATGAAGAATAAATTAGGATCACTCTACCCAATATTAAGGCTAACTATGTAGCTACAGTAATCAAGACAGTGTGGCCCTGGTGGAGGGACAGACACACAGATCACTGGGACAGAACAGAGAACCCAGAAATAGACCCACACATATATAGTCAACTGAGGTCTGACAACAAGCCGGTGGGGGAAGGACGGCCTTTTCAACAAACAGTGCTGGAGCAAGTGGACATCTTCAGGCAAAAAAATGAACCTCAACATAAACTCACACCCTGTACAAAAATTAACTCAAAATGGATCACAGACTTAACCGTAAAATGTAAAATTATAAAACTTTTAGAAAAAAACAGGAGGAAATCTTTGGAACCCAGGGCTAAGCAAAGAGTTCTTAGACTTGACACCCAAAGCATGATCCATAAAGAGCAAATGGATAAGTTGGACTTTAAATTGTAAACTTGTCCTGTGGAAACCCATGCAAAGAAGCTATACAGGCAGATTACAGACTAAAAGAAAATACCTGGGCTTCCCTGGTGGCACAGTGGTTGAGAGTCCGCCTGCCGATGCAGGGGGCACGGGTTCGTGCCCTGGTCTGGGAAGATCCCACATGCCGCGGAGCAGCTGGGCCCGTGAGCCATGGCCGATGGGCCTGCGCATCCGTAGCCTGTGCTCCGCAGCGGGAGAGGCCACAGCGGTGGGAGGCCCGCGTACCGCAAAAAAAAAAAAAGAAAATACCTGCAAGCCACATGTCTGACAAAGGGCCAGAATCTAGAATATAAAGCACTTTCAAAACTCGCTAGTAAAGAAAGAAAACAAACCAATAAGAAAATGGGCAAAGAGAATGAAGAGACATTTCATTGAGGAGCATTTAGATATGGCAAATAAGCACATGAAAGGATGTTCAAGGTCACCACCCATCAGGGAAATGCAAATTATAGCCACAGTGAGATAACACTATGCGCCTATCAGAATGGCTAAAATCAAAATTAGTGAAAAGTGACACCACCAAATGCTGGTGAGGATGTGGGGAACTTGGTTCACTCATCCATTGCTGGTGGGAATATAAAAGCCACTATGGAAAACAGTGTTTGTCGTCAATTCCTTATAAAACTAGCCATAGAATCGCTATGTAATTACCGTATGATTCAGCAATTGCATTCCTGGGCATTTATCTTAGAGGAATGGAAACTTATATTCTCACAAAAACCTGTAAACAAATGTACACAGCGACTTTATTTGCAGTATCCGCGAACTGCAAACAACCCACGTGTCCTTCGGTGGGTGAACTGCCAAACAAAGTATGGCAGGGGCATGCCACGGGGCGCTGTTCAGCGATAAAGAATAAACCGTTGATTACATGCAACACCTGGAATCAGGACATATGGTAGTCTCCTGTTTTTGGCTTTGTGAATAAAGCAACTGTGAACATTTGTGTACAGTTCTTTGTGTAAATATATTTTTACTTGGGTAATTACCTAGGAGTATAATTGCTGGGTTATGCAGGAGGTATATGTTAACTTGAAATGACCAGTTTTCCTCAGTGATTGTAGCATTTTTCATTCCCACCAGCAGGGTGTGAGAATTCTAGTTGCCCCAAATCCCGGTGAACACTTGGTATTTTGACTTTTTAACTTTAGCCATTCTGGAAAGTGTGCAGTGGTATTTCCTCATGTTCTTCCCTTCTACTTCTTCATCTGCTTGTTTTTGATTTTTGAAGTATAGTTTATATACAGTAAAATTCACCCTTTAAATTTAGCATAGCTTTTTAAAGAGATAACATTTTTAATCATCGAAAAGGGAACTAGATAACCCAAGTTTTAATCCTTGATCAATCACAGAAAACATTGACATATTAATTCCACTATCAAATATGTGGTTCAACATCACAATTTAATGTTTGTTTTTAGTTCTGTTGGTTTGTTTTGTTTGCCCTCTTAATTACTGATGGCCTGTTCTTATCTCCTCATGATTGGTTTTAAAACCATTGTGAATAAAAGGGAAGTTCCATGATAAAAATGAAGGTGAACTTCAGAGATAAGTAGCAAACAGTTTTCTGAGGTTTGACAAACGAATGTGTAACCACCAGCACAGTAAAAATATAGACTATCTCTATCACCCAAATATTCTTTCCTGCCCCGTTGAAGTTTGCCATATTGCATGTTGCATCCCCTGACCATCACCGACCTGCTTTCTGACCCTTTGGTTTTGTGATTCCTGATTTTGATTTGCATTTCTCTGAAAACTACGGATGTTATCTTATATGCTCATTGACCGACCATTCAACCGTCTTCTTTTGTGAAGTCTTTTCACATCTTTTGCCTATTTTTTTTTTCCTTTTGCCTGTTTTTTTTTTTTTAAAGTTGGATTGTCTTATTGAGTTGTAAGAGTTTGTTTTGTTTTGCTTTTAAGTTCTTTTTGGTACAAGTCCTTTGTCAGATACACATATTTGCAAACATTTTTCTGCCCTTATATGACTTGCCTTTTCATTTTCTTACTTGCCTCCTGCAAAGAGCAAACATTAAACATTTTTATTAAGTCAGTTTATCAAACTTTTTTTATGGCTTTTGCTTTTTGTGTCTTATCTAAGAAATCTTTGCTTATCCCAATGTTGCAAAGATTTTCTTTTGTGTTTACTTCAAGAAGTTTAATAGTTGTAGCTTTTACATTTAGGTCTGTGATGCATTTTAGTGTTTGTGTTTGGTGTGAGGTAAGGGTTGATGGGCAGTTTTCCCATATGTGGATGTCCAGTTGTTTCAGCACCATCTGTCAGACTTTGCCTTCCCCGTTCAATTGCCATGGCATAAAACGGTATCATTGTAGGGGACTTGCTTTCTTGAAAACAGAAGTTAATCCTTCGATGTATCATACCTTTCTAAAGTAGTAATTCACCTGTGGGCAACCTGATTCAGGATGCCGCTGTGATTCCAGATTTTACAGAGGGGCTGTGAGGGACAGATGGCTTCAGTTCCTTCAGCCGGGTTCCTTAAGTACTAACAGCATTTCCGTTTCCACATTCTGCACTTATTAGAAGCTGGCAAAGATTCCTGCCAGTGGGCTTGGTGTGAATGTGACCAGCCAGGATGGTTCCTCCCCACTGCACGTTGCTGCCCTGCATGGTCGGGCGGATCTCCTTCTCCTCCTCGTGAAGCACGGTGCCAGTGTGGGGGCCAGAGACGCAAAGCAGGCCGTCCCACTCCACCTGGCCTGCCAGAAGGGCCACTTCCAGGTATGGGTCCTGGCTCTTGCGCAGCGTGTATAGGGTTAGAACCTCACTTCGCAGGAGTGCTGCCGAGGGAAGAGTTTGCTTACCGGCCCAGAGGATGGGCCCATTTCCTTCCTCCCGGCGCCGAGATTCTGAGATGCACACGGTAGGACCACTCAGCAACAGAACACAGAACCCTGGGGCTTCTGGGGGTGGAGCCAACCCCCCTCCCACTGGCATTCACGTCTGGCAGCACAGAGCCTGTCATTCTGATTCTGACCCCAGCCGAGAGCTGTCTCTCTGATTCTTGGGTGTTGGTCATCTGTGCCAAACAGTTCAGTATCTATTTATTTTTTCATTTTTCCTTATTAGTTCCACTGTAAGGTTTTTAAAGCTAGGAATCATATTTCGGGTAATGCCTAGCATTAGTTTTCTAACATGTGAAACTGGAGTAATAATTACAGCTCTCCACAGAGGAGACGGAATGATTAAATGAAAAACACGCGTGCCTAGTACACCACCTCCACACACACAAGACCCTCAGCAAATGTTAATCCCTCCCCTTTCACTGGTCTGCTTTCTCCTGAGGGTCAGACATGGATCTAAGAGTCTTCTAGATAAGCTTACAGAAAAGTCAAAAGAATAGCAAGTTAGAGGATCTCTCCCTGCAAATTTTAATTAAAGTTGAACACTTTTCTTCTCCGACCTAGGTGGTGAAATGTCTACTAGATTCTAATGCAAAACCCAATAAAAAGGATATAAGTGGAAACACACCCCTCCTTTATGCTTGTTCCAGAGGCCACCACGAAGTTGCGGCACTGTTGCTGCAGGTAAGGACCCCCTCGCCCCCAGCCCAGGAGCTGCTGACACGGCTTGGTGACGGGCATCCCGCCACGTGGCGGGCCTCTGGCAGCGCACCGGGGAGGGGCGGGGAGGGAGGCCGCTTGGCTTTTGCTTTAAGCTAGCCCTGGGGTGGGGAGCTTTGCAGTAATGGGGTCTCAGCGTCCGAGCTGCATCAGGGATGCAGAGTTAAGGACTGAGACGCCGCTTTTGCTAAGGTTTGGATCTTGCCTCATTTAACCAGGTCAGTTGAATTGTCACCTGCAGTGTGAGCTGAATGTCCTTTTATGTCACTGCTCCTTTTTGCCTCTCTTGATAAAGGGTATATGTGTTGACTGTAGAATTTTTAAAAGTAGAGAGAAACCCAACTTTTCCATAACCCTGTTTCTCAAAGGCAACTAACTTTGGTGACTTCTTAAAAATGTGCATAGTTTAGATCACTATTGTTTTCTATCTTGTTTTAACTTAACATAGAAAACTGTTTATTTTATTTAATTTTTATAATTAATTAATTTTATTATTTATTTATTTATTTTTGGCTGTGTTGGGTCTTCGTTGCTGTGCGCGGGCTTTCTCTAGTTGCCGCGAGCGGGGGAGCTACTCTTCATTGCGGTGCGCAGGCTTCTCATTGCGGTGGCCTCTCCTGTTGTGGAGCACAGGCTCTAGGAGGGCAGGCTCAGTAGTTGTGGCTGGCGGGCTCTAGAGCGCAGGCTCAGTAGTTGTGGTACACGGGCTTAGTTGCTCCGCGGCACGTGGAATCTTCCTGGACCAGGGCTCAAACCCACGTCCCCTGCATCGGCAGGCAGATTCTTAACCACTGGACCACCAGGGAAGTCCGAAAATTGTTTATTAAAACCTCAGTTTTTAGTGGTTGCATAATTATGGATGTACCATGGTCTTTTTTTTTTTAACTGTTTCTGCTTAATACATTTAGGTGACTCATTTTTTTTCCTGTTATAATGATAAATGCTGCCATGAATATCTTTGTACATAAATCTTTTCTCCTCAGTATTACTTTTACTCCTAACATCTTAAGAAGAATTTCCGACATACAGAAAGTTGAAAGAATGTTATAGGGCACACCCATATAGGTACCACATCGATTCAACATTCCTTCTGATTGTGCCATTTCTCTCTCTAGCATGGGGCCTCCATTAATGCTTCTAACAATAAGGGCAACACAGCACTGCACGAGGCTGTGATAGAAAAGCACGTCTTCGTGGTGGAGCTGCTTCTGCTTCATGGAGCATCAGTTCAGGTCTTGAACAAGAGGCAGTGCACAGCTATAGACTGTGCTGAACAGGTAGGTGGGAGCGCTTCACTGCTGAGAGCATCCCAGGCTCCCTTACAGCTCACGGGGATCCCCTGTGTTTAAACCAGATCTGAAAGAGCAGTAGTCAGACCTCTGACTTGCCGTGCCAGGCTGAGTAGGTGTGCTGGAAGTCTGTGAGTGTAGCTGCATCCCTGGTCCTTGGTCACCTGATCAGAGGTGGCCTGCTGGGGCAGTTTTCAAAGGCCTGGTTAGACGTGCCCCCTACCCACCACAGGCCCCGGCGCCTCTGGCACACAGTCCAGCAGTTAGGTACTCGCGGGGAAGAGCAGGTTGACACAGCATCCTGGTCTCACCCTCCCTGCACTGGGAATATGCCTGTGGTCCTAGCAGCACGAGGGAGGGAGTGTGTGCAGTTAGCGAACAAACCTTGAGTTCTGTAAGGAGAAGTATGATGTGCGGTTTACTACCCTCCCAGTGCGTGGACGTGCGCCATGGAGAAATGGTGAGGAAATAGGAGGAGACTAAAGGAGGGACCTCTTTACTGTTCCTCTTGCCATGTTGAATCTTTATCTAGTTTCCTACTCAGGTAGACAACTACTAGGCTGTTAAATGACACCACTGACATATTAAAGTCACCATAAATCCAACCTACTTATAGGCTTAGTATATTAATTTCTAATTTTCAGTTGTGTTTCTTAACAGAATTGAAAAATTTTATACTTTCAATTTAGCACTTTCTCAAATGATGAATATCTTTTATTGAGCACTTACTATGTGCTGGGTACTTGATAACCTCATGATAACTCTACAGTAATAGATCCTGTTCTTGTCAACCCAGCTGCACAGAGCAGTGAAACACGGGCCCAGAGTACCACCTAGTAGAGGGCAGAGCCAGCCCCCAAATGCAGTGCTGTTCTTCACCACTAGGCTTTATGGCCTCAAAGTTTTGTCTGTAGCTGCTTCTTAGCTTTTCTGCCCAGCCATGCCAACACTGACATTTAGATCAAAACCTGGCAATAACCTGCTGCGAAAGCATACAAAACGTTACTGTTACCTTTTTCCTTTCACATTGTAGAATTCAAAAATAATGGAATTGCTTCAGGTAGTACCAAGCTGTGTGGCCACGTTAGATGATGTTGGAGAAACAGACCACAACGAGTACGTTACTGTCAAGATCAGGAAAAAATGTAAGAACTCACATCCTTTCTGTAATTCTCAACTTGGGTTTATTTGGAAGTTCATGAGCCGTTGGTTGCTGGTTTTCACTTAATTGTAAATGTAAAACAATTATAATCATGACTGGGGGTGGGATATAGGCACCAAAGAAAGGCACCGTTATATCCTGTTTCATCCATCCTGTAACATACATTTCATCCGGAAATGTACGTAATATCCTTCTTCATCCATTGTTTGGATACTGGTTTTCTGCTTGATTGTGATGTTCCCTAAAGAGGTAAGATGGACACTCTGGGCATTACCCTGAAGGTCAGGCCTCTACTCGCCAACCAGGGAGGAGGAACCACCTCTGGAAGTTTCTTTCATGTCTCATGTTCTGAATCCAGGCCTTTTTCTCAGCACTTCCTGGACACCTGGGGTAAATGCTACCTTTAAAGAATTCTTTGTTAATCTGCAGGTGTACAGAGGTAGATGGTCATTAGAACAGCAGCTGCTAAACAGGGGTGGGGCTGAAGTATTTTCCTCTTTTTAAAAAGTTGTTCCAGTTTAGATGGGGTCCTTGTTCAACTTTTTAAAAAACTGCAGTTGTAGTTTGCAATGCAGTAATGTGAATAAGCCCATTCACACATCTGGATAATCCTGAGGCTGTCTCACCCTAGTTGGCTGTGCCTGGGGAATATCAGTGTGTTAAGGATTTATCTTTGTTTCATGGGGGTTCACACAGTAATAAATAGGTATCTACTAATACGTTTCTGTAATCAAATGCAGTGCTTAAGTTCCTAAATTTTGTTAAACTTTAACAAAAAGAAGGTTGAAAGTTTGCATCTGTGCTATAATTTTTAAACAATTCTGAAACTAGTTTGGAAGTTTTCAGATGTTTATCCTTTTATCTACAGGGAACTCCAAAATGTATGATCTACCAGATGAACCTTTTACAAGACAGTTTTACTTTGTCCACTCAGTTGGTCAGTTTAAGTGAGTATAAGATTCGAGTTGATTTCTGTGCTTTTGACCTTAGCTTTACTTACAGCTCAAGCAGGTTATATGCAGCTTTAATGGGTTATAAATAAATCTGCACTCATCAAATGCTGCCGCCTCGTGGCCAACCAGAGTATTTCGCACCACTATCCCTAACGTTTATTTTAGTTTGTTTTGGGTTTCAGGGGAAGGACCTCAAGGGAGATTACGGCAAGAGATAGAAGTGTCCCTAATTTTGCTGAAGATTCTTTGCATGAGGTGAGTTATTAAACACTGGCTTATAATCTTACTTTTTCAAGCCTGAATTTTTCAAAACGAATCCATGGTAAACACATTTCTCATTTCATTATTCCCTTCACTGATAAGAGTTACTAACAATTAAAATGAGTTCCTTAGGGGCATGGTCACTTATTGTTATATTTAATAATGCGTTTCTGAGCTGAGAAAGGAAAGTGAAGAAAAAGTGGGGACTAGTTGTATTGTATGGAAAGATGCTGCAGTTTACAGTGTGCATACCTGATGAACTCTCTCACATTTTCCTGTGGAAGCAAATTCACTAATGTGTTAATCACTAATGTAAGGAAGAAAACACATTTGTATATAGATGGGTAAAAAACTTCAAGTATGGTGTAAAGTTGCTCGTATAGACAACTCTGTATGTGGCTGTCTTCCTATAGCACTGTTTAATTCTCCTGCTTTACATTCTGTGGTGTTTTTAGGTGGCCCTTCTCTGAACACATGGCTTGGCTTGGCTTTTTTTTTAATTGAAATATAGCTGATTTACACTGTTGTGTTAGTTTCTAGTGTACAGCAAAGTGATTCAGTTACGTATTCTTTTTCACGTTTTTTCCACTATAGTTTATTACAAGATATTGAATATAGTTCCCTGTGCTATACAGTAGGACCGTGTTGAAACACGGCTTTTCTTATTGCTGCTTGCCAATATAATATATGCCTTATTTATGAGAAATCGAATTTATGGTATGTGTGGCATAGGCTTGTTGGAACAAATACACTGAAGTTCTAAATCTTTTAGAGAATTAGTGATTTTTGTTAAGATGACTCATTTTGATTTCATAGTTAATCTTCCATGGCTTTGCTAATAGACCTGCTGCTGGCTGGGAAACCTGCAAACTTTGAAATCTGCCTGGGTTCAATCAAGTGTTAGCGTTCCCCTTGATAGCTGGGGGACTTAAGGCAGATTGCTTAACTTTTGCTGATCCTGTTTCCTCAGCTGTATGTAAAATGGGGATAACAATAGTACACACTTGTTAGAGTTGTAAAGATTAAACGTGAAAACATGTAAAGCGTTTACATTGTGTCTGATACATGGAGTGCGCAAATGTCATACTTTCACCGCAGGGATGTTAAGAGTTGAAATTATGCCTGGAAAGTACTGAGCACATTGGATGGCACATAGAAGCACTCTATGGGAGCTGTTATTATGTGGGTTGTTTCAAGTATAGCACAAATGTGAACTGTTTGAATCATACCTTTTCTTTAGCCAGGGAGGCAAAGAGTCACTCGGAAGCAGAATAACCTGCCAGACCAGAGCAGCTCTCAGACAGCTGACAAAGGAAACGATGGTCAGCCGGAGAGGCCTGGACCGAGACAAACTGCTCCTGGACAAAGGCGAATGCTCCGTAGACACATAGTCAATGATGCGGTTGTACCCAAGGGCCCAGAGACTGCTGGCAACCTGACCACTCCCCAAGAGGCTAGCATTTCCCAATCTTAATAGTAATAAGGAATTATCTACTGCCAAGAAGTGAGTCCTCAACAAGAAGATGCCAAGCCTGAGTACAGCTTAGAACTAAACGAACTTACTGTTTGTCTTGAGAGAAAAGCAGAAAGGTCCTGAAAGCTTTTCTGTGGCAGATGGAAAGAATGCAACAACAAAAAGCTATCACCATCTCTTTCCTCTTCAAAGCTAATGGATACACTTGAAAAGGAATGGACAAAAGTTCCAGTAGTGTCCAGATCCTTAAGACGCTTCTTCTTATGTATTAGGGTTCCTTGGTTACAGTGAGGTTTCATCACCAGATTCTGACCTCCTTCTACTGAAAGGTGCTAGACCTCTGGGATGTGTATAAACTTGCAAACCACAGCTAAAAGAATTCCTCCCTCTGCGATAAGCTGAAGAAAAGCAATTTAGGTTTCATGGTACCGTGGAGGCCGGGCGGAAATGTTGCATTGGAATGAAGGAGATAGGACCTGAAAAATGTCCCTTTGCAAGCAACACTTGAACCCAAAGATGCCTAAATGCCATTTTGATGCTCATTTTAGTTGAAAGGACACATATGACATGTTCTACACTATGTATGTGGGGAAAGTTGGGTATAATTTTTCTTCTAAAAAATTAAGTACAGATAATTGATCACTGCACTTATACACCTGTAGCAGTGTCTCTGGAAAAATCCCTTTCCGTTAAGAGCCTCCCTTAAATGTCACACCTGATGGATGGTTCCTGAACTAGACAGTAGACTTGGCACACCTTTTCTTAGTCTTTTGATTCAAAAGATTCAAAACTTACAGCACAAACCAGGTCAAAGTTACCTTAAATTAGAATTTATTACGATTTATTCCTTTTTATAAATTTCTATAGCTTATACTCATTTTTTTGTTATCAATTGGTCTAGAGCTGCAAACATGGGTTTGTCCAGAGTACATTTTCAAACAACTTTGTAATAGGAAAATGGTTCTGTGCACGTTCTTGGAAACACTTGCGTATGTACAGAAGGGAGGGGCTGATTATTTTTCTACAAAGTAATTTATGATTTTTAATTTTCTAATGTGCCTTGGACATGTGCCAAATGATGGAAAAGAAACAGTAAACTTTATGATTCTTGAGCGTGTCACGGTGTACTTTTTTGAGTTTGTTTTGCTAGGGAGGTGTGTTTCTCAGCCTTTCTGCTATGAACATGTGCTTTGTATATGGAAAAATCTTCCCCCATTGGATGGAGATACGTTTTATTTTTCAGTTATAGATATAAGTACGACTGAAGCATGTAAACTGGATCATCCGGAGAGCATTACCCACGTACCCTGAGTAGGGCTGACCTAATCCAGTAAGCCCGGTGTCTAGGGCCCCCACAAGGATGTTTGAATTTCCTTTAACATCCGAAGAGCAAAACTGAATATAATACAGCTTCTTAGCCCAAACAGGAAACAAGCACTGTTGCTTTGCAAGTTTCTTTGTTCTATTTACTCCTTTCCCCCACTTTTAATCAAAACCGCCTCATTGACTTAAGTTGCTGTGCTTCTCTACCATCCTAATTAAGAAACTTGACCCTACACGGCTTATCAGCACTGCCATTTCCACCACCGAATTTTGGGGGTGGTGCAATATAATATTGAAAACTTTCACATATACCCCCAATTAATTTCTAACAGTTGTCCTGGCTGGTAGAATTGTCAAATGAGGAGCCAGGTTCATGGAAATAATAAGGGGGCTAATTTGTTTGCACCGTCAGAGCTGGGGTCAGGCCCTGGCTGGCAGTGTCACCTGAATTGGCAGATTCCAGCTCAGCGTGCCCTTCATCTGGAGATGTAAATGCCACGAATGGGACTGTCAATCTTAGGGGAGAAGATTCCTCTTGAGCTACTTTGGTAATCAGCAGGGTGAGCGATCTGAAGTGATTACCTCAATGATTTTTAAAAACACTTGTGTTTTTCTCCAGTTACTTTCCCACTTAAAAATAAATTTGACAATTCAGACATTGGTAATGCCCAAATTTCTGTTTCGTGTAAGAATGTTCTGAATTCAAAGTTAAATTAGAAAGTTGAGAATAACCACCACCCCCCCCACCCCGTGGACGGAAACGTACTCCACCCCCTTGATGCAGTCAAGAACCTCTATCCTTGAACAGAGTCATTTTCCATTCTCGCGTACCTCTGAAGGATGGGAGGTTGACAATCTTTAAACACATTCACATTGGCAGCTCCATCAGGACAGTGGTTATTCTGCAAGAGAAAGTGTGTAGCAACTTGCTGAGAATTGTCTAGTCTCCCTCCAGCATTTCTATGTAAATGAGACATAAAACATATGTACCTGTAACTGGGATTTTTTTTTTTTCAAAATCCTTGATCAGATTTTACTTTTGATGATTTACTCTGTTACTCTGAAAAATTTTTGATGTTCTTAATGGTTCTACTCATTCGTTTATTCAGGAACACTAGACACTTTATTCTAACACTGACTTTCTTCAGCATCTATGGTTACAAATTTCAAGTCTCAAACACAGTAAAATCTCAAATACAGTTTAAACGTGTCTCAGCAGTGTGCTAGCTAAAGCAGAGACTGGGATTGTAAACCACATTTCCCTTCACTCTCCTGCTACTAATCCTATTCATCTCAGTAAATGTTATGAACTTCCTCCAGGGCTAGGCCTCCCAGGACTAAGACATCTATCTATAAGGTTACACCAAACAGCTCACTTGAGAGTTCAGTTTATTTATTTTTGGCTGTGCTGTGCCGCTTGCGGGATCTTAGTTCCCTGACCAGGGATTGAACCCGGGCCACCGCAGTGAAAGTGCCGAGTCCTAGGCACTGGACCGCCAGGGAACTTCCTAGAGTTAAGTTTACGATTTAAATTTATGAGCAGTTTTTCATAACCTGGTGGGAGTAAAGCACAATATAAGAGATGACATTTTTAAAAAATGTATTTATTTGGTTGCGCTGGGTCTTAGTTGCAGCAGGCGGGCTCCTTAGTTGTGGCAGGCGAACTCTTAGTTGCAGCATGCATGTGGGACCTAGTTTCCTGACCAGGGATTGAACCCGGGCCCCCTGCATTGGGAGCACGGAGTCCTAACCACTGCGCCACCAGGGAAGTCCCAAGGGATGACATTTAAGTTACCGGCAACCTTATCAGTGAAGACCCAGAACATTTCTACCAAAATGTTTAACCACTAAACTGTCTCAACTGGATCTGAATCATTATAAATCATTTCTCTTACAAACATGTTTACTAATGTTGAAGTATATTACCATCATGTCTCAGTTATTTTGGTAATTTTTTTCCAATGGATGTATCCTCTAGTTACAGAGGTTGTTTGGATAGGGGTCATATTTGTTAGATAATTTAGTCTCAACGCCTTTGAAAAGCATATTATAAATGAAACCGAAGCTAGGAATTTTCCCACATTAAATGTAAGTACTATCTTCAGGAAGAAAAATAGCTTACCTGCTTTCAGAACCTATGTCTTGGAAATATTAAAGTTGACTCAGCTTAATCCATGAGTCTTAAATCCCATGATGTTACTGGACACTGCTATCTTCTTTTTACTGAAGATGATTGAGCAGCTTCTATTTCTGCTAAGGCCACTTTCCCACCTAACACTAATGTCACAATTACAAAGGATATATTCATGCTGCTACACATGTTCAAAAGCTTTTGATAGGAAAGGAAAAAACTGAAAATGCAGGTCTTCTGTTCATTCTGCTACGGTTTTAAAACAAGTCTGTCCAAATTGTTTTATTTTGCATAACAAGTTTATTTTTAAAAGGCATATAGACAGTAAACAAAGTAAACATCCCATCGAGATCTGAACTTCAGCCAAGTGTTTTATCTGTCCTAGAATTGCTCCATTAAGTTCCAGTCTCTAGACGTCTTAAATTCAATAATCGTCATCTTCATCAGAGTCCATTACTTTTCTTCTGCTGAACTGGGGGGAAAATTAAATGAGTATCATAACATGTTTCACAAAGCATAACTCAGATTTTCTGAGAACACAAATTTCTACCTACTACAGGGAGACATTTCTGTCTGTCTTTAAAACAACTTAGTGTTTCAAAACAATAGAAGAGCCTTGAAAATTAGGCCCTCAATATATGCAGCCTTTCTCCCCAAACTTCCCTGTGTTATAAAATGAAAATGTCTATGGGCTGAAACATGTTTGATACAGTACATGCAGATGCAACGCTTATTTAAAATATCAATCTTTCTTTTGCCGTATGCATTTGGGGAAACTTACTTTAACTGTTGTTTTCTTTTCTGTTTGTTGGCTTACTTTTTCGAGGATTTCTATTAAACCTTGTTCTGATACCTAGGATAACCAAAGAGAAAAACAGTATTTTTTTAAAACAAAGAATTGACCTCAGCAGACTGCATGGTTTTAGTCCTTCCGGGGTGCGGGGTAGAGGTCAAGAGGCAAGGAGAGTGGGACAGCGGGCTGAAGCCACTGGCTATAACTCTTGGTTTAAGTTCCACATAAAATCTGCTCTGCTAGTCTTCATTTGAGGGAGGAAAAGTATCCATCAGTTAGCTTCCTCGAAAAATACAAAATTAACAGGTACTTAAGAACACCTTCATCACCACTGGCAGACAATGACAACCACCTACACCACTGTGTTAAGTGTCAGGGACAGAGATACACCATCTCTGCCCCTGAAACCTTGAGAAGCTTAAAAGCAGGAGATGAGTCACTCAAAAAAGGTGAAGCAGTCATTGTCTCTTCCACACACATTCTCAGTGTAAGGGGTTCAGGGCGGGCTGACCCCTGTAGGCTGTGGTGGCGGCAGAGGGCTTCCCAGTGCAGGTGGGGCTCATCTGGGTCTTGAAGCAAGGTCAGGGATGCAGAATATACCCATCATGGCATTACAGCAACACACATAATAACCAGGAATTTTAGCACCTCTTCATTTGCAAAACAAGGTAACTTTACCTGTTTTAATTAGTATTACTGACAAACCTTGTTTCCAGTGTAGAAGCACTTAGAACTAACTAAACAATGAGTTATCTTTTAGGAAGGATGGTAGATACAACTATTCTCTCCTTTAAAAATTGCTTCAACAAGAATTCTGCAACCAGAAAGAGATAAAACTGACCTTCTGAAAATGTTTTGATAAAGTAGGTAACAACAGTTTAAAACTGCCTCAAGGCAGTCCAAGCTTACCTTCCCACTTAGTTGTCCATACCGTGCCATCTGTATAAGGTAATTCTCTACTGCTTTAGTTTTCTCAGGCTTTACAAGTGCTAAGTTACTTACTAAAAAGGAAAAAAAAAAAATCTATATACACACATACACAAAGAAGTCAGAACTAAATGCACTTATATTATACCTTGAAACTAAGCACTGACATTTCCAAAGCCCTTCAGATTTATTCATGTCTTGAGACTAGCAAGGTAGATAAGGCAGATGCTATCGTTACTCCTCTTAAAAACGAGGAAAACTTGAGTTCAGCTGTGTCAATCTCAGTCAAGACCACACGGAGGTCGTGGCAGAGCCAAGATTAAACTTGGGTCCTCAGATTCTAAGCTCCATGCTTAAAAAAGAAAAAGCACTATTGCCCTCTGAAAAGCAATTTATATACTACTACACATATATAATCATAGTGATTCATCTAGGCCTGCCTCTTCCAAGCTGGGCTTCAAGTTACAATACAGAAGATACTGGTTCATTCTGATGGATCATTTAATATGTTTTTCTACATGGTTTTTATGAAAAATTTTATTATGAAAAAACATACACTAAAATGGAGAATACAGGCATATCTCATTTTATTGAGCTTCACAGATACTGTGTTTTTCACAAATGAAAGTTTGTGGCAACCCAGCTTGGAGCAGGTCTATTGGCATCATTTTTCGAATAGCATTTGCTCACTTCATGTCTTCGTGTCACATTTTGGTAATTCTCACAATATTTTTGAACTATTATTATTATTATATATGTTATGGTGATCTGTGATCAGTGATTTTTGATGTTATTGCAAAAAGATCATGACTTGCTGAAGGCTCAGATGATGATTAACATTTTTTAGCAATAAGGTTTTCTTTTTGCAATAAGGTATTTTTAAATTAAGGTATGTACACTGTTTTTTTTACACATAAGGCACACTTAATAGACTACAATATAGTATAAACTTAACTTTTATATGCGTTGGGAAACTAAAAAATTTGTGTGACTCGCTACGCTGTGGTGGTCAGGAACCAAAGCTGCAATACCCCCAAGGTCTGCCTGTACAATAAACCCGAGCCCCCAATCACCCGTGTCATCTACCAGCAACATTTTGTGACTGACTCGATTTAAGAGTTGTTTCCTATAAATTTTACCTAATACAGTCGTCCCTTTGTACCTGCAAGGACCCCCTGAGGATGCCAAAATCCGAGGATGCTCAGCCCTTATATGAAATGGTGTAGTACTATCAGCCCTCTGTATCTGTGGATTCTGACTCCACGGACACAGAGGGCCGACTGTATGCACTTGGAGATCATCTCATTGGTAGGAGAGAATGGAGCTGGTACTTCTAATAATGATTTAAGTACATTTCTTTAGGTTTATAAACTTAACATTTCTTACAAATAATCTGTATCTCACGTTTTAAGGTTAAACAAATATTTAATCTAGAGGTAGCAACAATTTCATATATATCTCCCCATTCAAATAACTCAAGCCAATTTTATGGAAATAAAGAAAACTGAAGATGCTTACATCGGGCCCGGGCTGACTGATCCAGAACTTGGGCTAAGATACTGTTCCTCATTTCTGCTTCCCTACAACAAAAACAGGTCAAGCAAAATTAGAACTAAGCTGTCAGCATTCCTGTTGAACACAGAAAAATGTAACGAGTCCACTCTTACACTCAAAGGCCAGCATTATATTTTGTGAGTGTACATCTTTATATTTTGTGAGGTTGAAAGGTAAAACTTCACATTTACCTAATCAGAGTGGAGTTTCAGTTCAACCACGATTATAAACATTTATTAAGTACCTAGTGAGAGGTGCTAGAAATTTATAGTGAGATTTCAGGCAATTACACGGACCAAGTGATTAATCCCTGTAATTTTCTTAGAGATAAAGAAGCTGAGGTCCATGGAGGAAATGTTAAGGAGACACAGGTAACTTGTGGCCAAGGTAGGACAAGATCCCATATTTCCAGACTCTCAGTTCTAGTTTTTGGGTTGGGAGGGGAGTTAAATTATAACTCTGCTTCTATCCTTGCATCTTCCTACCTATCCAAGTAGGAACTATTTCAAGTTCACAGGATAGTGGTTTCAAACTTTTTTTAAGCAGAAATTGTTTTTCAAATGAAGCCCTTCAAGGAACTTAATACGTAACACAGACAAAAGCAGAGATTCTTTGGCCGAATTCGAAGGGGAGCTCGGGCTGGCTGTGCCTACTAACTGCCCCCATCTGAAGAGCTCTGGGGTTCACGGAACACAGACTGAAGCCCACTTCCATAGGCCATTTCCTTATCACTCCTGAGTACTGCAACCCTGCCACGAACTATGACTACATTTCACTAAATCTAAGAGGCCAGAGTAGAAAACACACCATAGTATTCTGTATCTCCAAGAATGAAAAACACCCTAGATGAGGTGTCTAATAGGAGACCCTCACTCATAGCTGGGGTATCATCCCAGAGCAACATCCTCAATACACGGTAAACAAGAAATAAACCCGCTATGCAGAAAGGAACAGCAAGGAAGTGTGCGTGCAATGACCTTGGCCCTGAGTGAAGAAAAAAGTGTCTCTGAGAATTTGAACTTCAAGCTGTAGTCTTGCAGGTTTGCTGTTTGAATTCACAGCACCAGTGTGGAGAAAGGGGGAACCTCAAGCAGTGAATTTTTTTTTTTTTTTTTTTTTTTTTTTG